CATCTAGCTAAGAATATTCAGTGAGGTTGGAAAGACTGCTTGGGGCCAGTTTGTGATTGGTTTTAAAAGCTAAACATCTACCCCAAAGCAACCATTTCCATCTGTACCAGCACAAAGTATCTCCACCTCCTGCTGTCAACCCAGTCTCCCAGCTGGGAAGTGGAGAAACTCCAGTATAAAGAACAACCTTCCCTTCGACTTGAGGCTACCCTTCTTCTATGACTCTTCTTTTAGGGTAGGGGAGTGAAGTCCTCCACTTAATGATGAATATTTTCACACCTGTTCATACCCTTCACATTCCAGTGATTCTGAACTGTGAGATTATCAGCCAAACCCCAATCCATACCCTCTACTACTTGATTCCTCATTATCATCCTTCTCAACCCTCCCACTGCCAAATTTCACCATAACTCCTCACAGACCTTCCATTGTACCCTCTGGAATGCTTGTTCCATAGGCAACAAACTTGCCTTCATCTTAAATCTGTTCCTTGCCAATCTCTTCCATCTACCAGCTGTTACTGAAACCTGTCTTTCCCCTGGTGATACAGCCTTCCTGTCCACCCTTTCCAGTACTGGCTGCACCTGCACTCATTCTCCTTGGCTCATTGGTGGAAGTGGGAGGATTGGAATACTCCTTGTACCTCATTTCTACTTCTAAGTTCTCTCCTTTCCTCTTTCACTCAGTAACATCTCTTCCTTTGAGGTATGTACTATTCAACTTGCCACCCAATCAAAATCCTGTTAGTGGTTGTCTGCAGACCCCCAGGTTACACTGTCCTCCTCTCTTGAATTCCTAGTTTCCTTATCATATCACCATTTACGCCTAGTCAAGCCTCAGCCTTAGATCCCTCTCACCATTTGTTGCCTTCGTGCCCATACATGTGCTGTTAAATGAAGGTGGAGAAAATCATGCAACCGTACTGACTGGGGTCCACTACAAATTTATGTTACATAACCTCAACTGGGACTTCACTGCTGCTAGACAATTCTATTAGATTTTCCTTATCAGTTTACTATCCCACTCTCCACAGTTACTCTTTCAAACCATCCCACCTGTCCTCAAACTTCCCATGGCTCCCCTCTCAGTGGAGAACCTCACCTTATATTTTACAGGAAAAATAAAGCCATTCTCAGTGAATTCTGTTGTCTTCCCTCTTCCTCCTGTCATATCACTGAAGTGCCTTCTGTCATTATCTCCTTCGCCCTTGTATCACAAGATGAGATGGCTTTACTCCTAAGGCTAACCCCTCTACCAGCTCAAGTGATCCCTTTCCTCCTATCTCTTCTAACAAACTGTCCCCTTTCTGTCACTTATTTTCAGTCTTACTCTGTCTTCTGGCTTCTTTCCTACTGCCTACGAACATACTCATGTCTCTCCCATCCTGAAAAAATCCTCATTTGATCTTTCCATCCCTAATAACATCTCTTCTGCCCTTTGTGGCTAACCTCCTTGAAAAGCTCATTTACAATAGGTGCTTCCACTTTCTCTCTTCTCATTCTTTATCACTCTATTAAAACTGCTCTAAAATGGGGCAGCTAGGTGGTGCAGTAGATAGAGTACCAGCCCAGGAGTCAGGAGGACCTGAATTCAGATGTGGCCTCAGACACATAACACTCCCTAGCTGTGTGACTCTGGGCAAGTCACTTAACCCCAATTGCCTTATCAAAAAACAAACAAACACAAAAAAAAAAACTGTTCTAAATTTACCAGTAATCTATTAATTGCCAAATTCAGTGGCCTTTTATCAATCCTCATTCTCCTCAGCTTCTCTGCAACCTTTGATGCTGTTGATCACCCCCTCCTTCTTGATGCTTTCTTCTGTTTAGGTTTTCAGGACACTAATCTCTGCTGGCTCTCCTCCTGCCTATATGGCTACTCCTCAGTCTCCTTTGCTGGATCTTCACCCAGGTCATGCCCCCTAACCGTTGTAGATGTCCTACAGGGTTGTGTCCTGGGCCTTCTTCTCTTCTCTCTCTATACTACTTAATTTGGTGATCTCATCATCTACCACGGATTTAATTGCTATCTATACGATGATGATTCTCAAATCTACCTGTCCTGTTCCAATCTGTTCTGACCTCCAATCTTGCATCTTCATCTGCCTTTCATACATCTTGAATTGGTTTTCCAGTAGACATCTTAAACTCAATATTTTTAAAAACAGAAATCATTATCTTTCTCCCTAAACCCTTACATTCTCCCCCAACCTTCCCTTTTACTGTAGAGAGCAGTACCATCTTCCCAGTTCTTTGGGCTCGCAAGTCATCATGAATTCCTCACTGTCTCTCCCCCTCCCCCTCCCCCTCCCCATATCCACGCTGTTGCCAGGGTCTGTTTGTTTCGCCTTTGCAACATCTCTCAAGTACACCCCCTTCCCTCCTCTGACATCGTCACCACTCTCCTGAAGGCTGTCATTGCCCCACACCTTGGTTACTGCAGTAGCTGTTAGTGCATCTGACTGCCTCTAGTCTCTTCCCACTCCAGTCCATTCCCTTGTCACTAAAGTTCAGGTCAGATCGTGTCACCCCTGTATTGACTAGACTGCAGTGGCTCCCTATAACTTCCAAGAGCAAATACAAAATAATCTAGCCCCCTTCTATCTTTCCAGTCTTCTTACACCTTTTTCCCTAATATATACTATTTGATCCAATGACACTGGCCATTTGGCTGTTCACAAATAAGACACTCCGTCTCTTGGCTCCAGGCATTTTTCTGGCTGTGCCCATGCCTGGAATGCCCTCCCTCCTTCACTTTAATCACTGACTCCCTAGCTTCCTTTAAGTCCCAACTAAAATCCCTCCTCCTACAGGAAGCCTTCCGTAACCTCTTAATTCTAATGTTTTTCCTCTCTTAATTATTTCCTATTTATCCTTTATTTAACTTGTTTGTATATATTTGTTTGCATGTTGTCTCCCCCATTAGATTGCAATCTAATGCCCTTGAGGGCAGGGTCTGTGTTTTGCCTCTTTTTGTTTTGCCAGTGCTTAGCACAGTACCTGGTACTTAGTAGGCACTTAATACATGTATAATGAATGAATGTATAGATCTATGAGTCATCTGTGTAGTGATGGTGGTTCAACCCATGGACGCTGATGAGGTTACAGGGTAGGGGAGTATAGAGAACAAAGAGAAAATGTACTAAGACAGAACCTTTAAGATCATCCCCAGTTTGGGTGTGAGGGGCAGGCAACATGCATAATGAGCCAGCAAAGGAAATGGTATAAGGAATGGTCAGACAGGTAACCAGAGAGGAAAGAGTATCCGGGAAGAGGGCATAGGATATTTAACACTTGTCATATGCAACAAATAATGGCTAAGAAGGATGAAGACTGAGAACAGAATGTGAAGAGAGATTGATATTTCTGTTCATCAGATAACTAAGCCTCCAAATGGTTTATTTGTGAAATGGAATTGGGTTCTTCAGAGTGAATTTAGCCAGTGAGGCCCTAGACTCACACCCTTTATCTTTGACTTTTGTTAATAGTTCTATGTAGACTGAAAGAACTTAACTGCTCTTGCTTCTTGCATGCACACACACGTGCACATCCACACCCACTTCAACTTATGCCCCCCACACGCGCGCACACACACACGCGCGCGCGCTTGCACACACACACACACACACACTTCAACTTTTACTCATGTTGGCAGCAGAACAATCCCTCTGACTTGCTTTCTCAAAGAATTGCAGTAGCCTCCTGATTGGTCTTCTCACTTCCAGTCTCTCCCGCCTCCAACACATCTTCCACACAACTGTCAAAAGTAATATTCATAAACCATAGACTTGACCATATTACTCCCCTGTTAAGTAAAGTTCAGGGACTCTCTGTTACCTTCACAATCAAATAGACTTCTATCTCTGATCTTAAATCTTTTCACTATCTGGCTCCAACCTACCTTTCTGGTCCTGTTATAAATTTGTCTTTGCCTGCTTTAAGATCCAACCAAACTGGCCTTCATTTCTCCTGCATATCACTTGCTTTCCTCTATCTGTGCCATTTTTCAGGTTGATCTGAACTTATATCAAGTCTTTTTGACCCCCCTTTTTCTAGTTCTGTTCCCCCCCATATTATATTGTATTTACTTTGTATATACTTACTTATGTATCTGCTGTCTCCCCCATTGGAATTTAAGCTCCTTGAAGGCAGGGAATATTTTAATTTTTGTATACCCTGCCCCCAGGTGGATTTTGTTCATTTCATGAGGCCACTGTTCTATGTCTAATACATAGGAGACACTGAATAAATTTATTGATGGCTTTATTCTTTGATTTTGTGAGGTGAGAACTTTAGGGGCATATAGTCTCTTACAAAGGCATCTTAAAATGCCATATAATATGCTTTGAGGGCAGCTAGGTGGCACAGTGGATAGTGTCAGGCCTGGAGTCATCTTCCTGAGTTCAAATTCAGCCTCAGACAACTTACTAGCTGTGTGATCCTAGGCAAGTCACTTAACCCTCTTTGCCTCAGTTTCTTCATCTGTAAAATGAGCTGGAGAAGGAAATGACAAGCCACTCCATTATCTTTGCCAAGAAAACCCCAGATGGGGTCATGAAGAGTCAGACACAACTGAAACAACTAAACAGTAACAACAATAATATGTATTAGTTCTTTTGAACTCTAAAGATTCTTTAATTTATTGAAATAACCCACCACATTTGGATTCACGTTGTTCCATACCAGGAAGGACTATTAGTTTGTGAAATAGAAAGTGATGTCGTGCATTGTTAAAATTCTTTAAAAAAAATTTTTTTGTTTTGTTTAAAAATTTTTTTTTATTTTGAACTTGACAAATGAACATTTCTATATACAAAGAACAGAAAATCAGTTTGTATATGAACCTATGAATTTTTGTTATATATAGCTTGTTTTCTTAAAGTATGCTTTAAATTTAATATGGTGGTACTACAAAACCCTGCTTATCTGTGTCCTCTGCTTAACTTTTGCTATCTTATTATTTTTTAAGTGTTCCATTGTTGATTGTTGCTTTATTTCTAGAGCTTTATGGTTTTGATGTTCTCATTGATTCAACTCTGAAACCATGGTTGCTGGAAGTGAATCTTTCTCCTTCTTTGGCCTGGTAAGTGAATACTATCACCAGGTGAGGGCTATGCATTCATCTAGTAACACCAAAATGGTTTTTATCATATTTTTCATTACTAAAGAAATAAGACCCTCCTCCACCCCAACATTATTTTTCCTTGTGTTCTTTTTTTTTTCATCAAGGGAACAAAGTTATTTATTGTTACAGTGTTTTGTTGTTAAATAGCAGTGTACTTTAGCTTACAGAGGAGCACATTTTTGATAAGATGTTAACAAAAGTCCAAGTCCAAGGTTTCTTGCAGAGCAATGCAAGCATTTCCCAATGACCATTCATGGCTCAGCTTAAAAATATGGAACGCTTCATGAATTTGTGGGTCATCCTTGCACAGGGGCCATGCTAGTCTTCTCTGTATCGTTCCAGTTTTAGTATATGTGCTGCTGAAGCGAGCACCCTTGTGTTCATTTCTAGGCGTTGTAGATAGAGACTAGTGAAAGTTTTAGACGTGGAGTATATTTCTTGTACAGCTCTGGAAATTATAGTATTCCATTGTCATCAAAACTTATTGAGGAAACTTTTTAATAGAAGCTAGTCTATATTCTGTTTTACCCCAAAGTATAGTAGAGACTTTGTTTCTTGTCCTGATTATTAAGTAAGTCAATTAAAAATATGTTGGGGATGTAGAATGATGGGTCTAAGCTAGCATTGGTGATAAAAGGCCCCCTTGCCCTATTCTATATCCTGTGCCTATGCAGTTCTAAAGATTTTAAGTGTTCTCACATGGGAGACTTCTTTATTGTTTTCTGGATGACCCCTTGTTTTGAAGAAAAGGTATAATATCATTTGGAATACCAGATAAAATTCTATCCACAACCTCTACAGCCAGGACTCTTAATTAACTGTGAGTTTCACTGAACAATTGGGAAGCCCTACTGATTATACTGAAAATCAACCAGATGCAGTGTTCAATGAAAGCGAATGTTGGCAATGTGCCATTTAATGAAATTGAGTAAGATGAATATTGTCCAGTAAAGGCTTTTCTCTATGTCATTGGTAAGATAAAGGTGAAGTATTTAAAGAAACCTTTGTACTAAGCCTTCCCATTAGAGAAGGTATGTAACACTAGACTCCAGTACCTTTAGCTGAATTCCCCTTTTCCTCTCTTTTCATAATGACATTTTCTTTCCTGGGACTCTAATACAGTCTATGCCTTGTTAGCCTTTATTTTCTGAGATCTGTTAGAGCCTATTGAAGACATGTTCTCAAGGAAGCATCTGATCCATTCAATTGTTAAATTCATAATCTCTCTCATTTTTCTTTCTTTACTCTCAGTGATGCACCTCTGGACCTAAAGATTAAAGCCAGTATGATTTCAGATATGTTCACTGTTGTAGGTAAGTAGTTTTCTCTGAATTTAACACATTATTAAAGTTAACTGGAGTCTGCATTTTGTACAGTATTAGTGCAGTGTCAGGTTTGCCAACTTTCTTGGAAGAAGTAGTAAGAAATGATATTTTCAGGGAAGTGAGAGAAAGTGTTCTTACCTGTTGTGTCTCCCAACTTCCCTAACTTCCTCCTGTCCTAGATGAAATATAGATTCATTGAAAGAAATGTTTTTTTGAAAAGTCCTATTTTTTTTTTTAACATCACTGTCATTTCTTCAGTGACTCCCCTTCTCATCCTCTACCCTATTTGGATCCTCCTTTGTAATAAAGAAATACCATTAGGACAAACTAGTAAACAGGTTGACAGTACCTGACAACATATGCCGTATCTACCCTGTGGTCTCCCTCCACTGTGAAAGGCATGTTTCTCTTTCAGCCCTGCAGTACAATGCTAAAGTTAGAGGCCTTAGGTTCAGATTCCACCTCTGACACTTAATATCTGGGTGACCTTGAATAGATCAGTTCACCAACCTTGGCCACAGTTTCCTCACTGGTGAAAGAAGAGTGCAACTCCAGATGGTCTCTATGGTCCCTTCTAGCTATAGATTTATAATACTATGATGTTACTATTGGTCATTGGACTGATCAGAGTTCGAATGTCCTTCACTGCTGTTTTGCTTTGTCTTATTGTGATCGTGGTTTACACTGTTCTTCTCATTCTGCTTACTTTGCTCTATATCAGTTCATACAAGTCAAAGCCTTCTTGATGTAAAGAAAACTGGATACATTTTCATTGAAACAATCCCTTTTGGTCTTAACGTGGTTTTTTCTCCAGTAGCTAAAACTGAAGGTGCCTTAACTATTGCTGTGAAAATAAACACACAACAGCAACAACAAAACCTTTTTTAAAAAGAGAAGCCAAGAAAATTCAGAAGGAATAGTCTCAGGTTGGTAGACTGTGGTATATTAGTCAACAGACCATTACACAGAACATTTCAGGTAGATCCATACTTAGTATACTATTGAAGTAAAGGACTCAGTCATTCTATTCTCCTTGGAAGAAAACTTGCTTCTCTTCAGGAGGTAAGTGGACATTAGCTAGTTCTTGATTTCTTAAGCCATAAATAAGATGTAGCGACCACTGTGAAAGAGGCAGGTCTCTTTGCCTTATGGATTTTTTTTCAGAATCTCCCAATTAAAGAATTCTTTTCCAGTCAATATTCAACAGAGTTTTTAGAACAGGTCTTGTTTTACTAACGTGAATGCAGCAATGGGTTTAATTGTTTGTGTCGTTACTTTCAAGTTCATTAGCTTAAACATCTTTTTCTTAATAAGAAAAAGGCCGTGTAGCCAAGAGTTGTATCTGGTCCCTTTTAGTTATGGTGGTTTCAAGTTCAGGCATAATTGAAGGTAGAGACCTTTGGGATGCTTTTACCTGGGTAGGATACTGGCAATGAAACTTGGTTTGTACTACAAAAGAAAAGGTAAAAGTAGACCTGCAGATTTCCTAGAAAATGGCAGGTTCTAACATTGCCCTTTCCTTCTTCAGGATTTGTGTGCCAAGACTCTTCTCAGCGGTCATCAACCAGGCCAATGTATCCTACATTTGAGCCTTCTAGGGGAAATGCCTTCCAGAAAAATCAGGTAAGCAAATTCAGCAGCTCAGAGCTTCTAGGAGGATCACAGGGGAGCGCCTGATTTAAACCGGCGCAGGAACCAAATAAGGGAGCTTAGGCTACGTGAACTGTCAGGGCATCTGCTGAAGAACACTGCACCACAGGACTTTTAGTACGAACATAAATAGGCAGCTAACAGCCAGTTAGTTACATTCAGCCTTGGTAAATCAGTAGCTCATGCTGTCAATCAAACTTTTTTCCTTTTCTTTTTTTCTTACTTGTTTTGCCTCCCCTTCTTTTTCTTCTCTCTCAGATCAATATCCATATAATCTGGGCACAAAAGGGAAGATTATATACTAATTCCCAGTTGGTGCTTTGTTAAGTATTTTATGATCTTCATCTTAGCTTCATGATCTAGACAAAAGATGTACTGCTGAAAATCTTCCCAACAAGTGGGTCTCCTCAACAGTATCCATGAAACATTGCCTGAAGTGAAATGGTACAGAGTCTAAATCCTCTTGGATATTTCTCTGGCATTGTCTGATTACTCTCTTTCCAGAATAGCCTTTCTCTTCCTGCTGTGCCAATCAGCTTGTCATTCTTCTCATACCACTTGCTGGTTCTCACTTAATGTGCTTTCATTTGTATCACACGCTCCCATCTAGAAGTCTTGTCCTCTTCTCTCTGCCCATCTGGATTGATTACATAACTGCCTCAAAACTCATCTTCCTTTGAGAAGCATTCCTTAATTAAACCACCTCATTCTGATGATTCTTTTGCTTTGCTTCTAATCAGCATCTCTTTTCTCTGTACTTTATTATTTTGTACGCCTGGTTTGTTGCTTTGTTATTCCTTGTATCTTGTTTACTAGATTGGAAATTTTCAGCAGGCAGGGACTATATCTTGTCTCTTTCTTTTATATTTGCCCACACCACATAGAATAGTGACCTGCACTGATAAAATATGTCTGGACTGACAGTCAGACAGAATGTTACTTATTCAAGTATGTGATGCTTTTTCTTGTAGAAAATATCTGAACTTTTTAATGTGGTAAAAAGGAGTGCTCTTCTTTGAGCGATATCTTTTTGGAAGAAAATTTAAATTAGGAGCCTGATTTTTAATTGATCAGTGGATCATCATAGATCAAGGATTTTGTTCTTATTTTTAATAGGGAGAACTGAAGTTTTAACCTTATTGTACTGAGACAATTTATCACAATTGGTTATGTGCTTCTTCACATTGTTCCTGTAGTGTTCATATAAATGACCGTTATCTAGATAATAATAATAATAATAATAATAACTAACATTTATAGATTTGATCTCATAGAGTTGTTTTTGCTAAAAAACTATATTTTCAATGCTGCCATGCAATTTTAATATACTTTTTTTTTTTTTTGCCAAGTTTCTCTCTGGAATGGCTACATGTCTGTCATGGATGAATTGTTGTGTTCTATTACCAAAATTATGAAAATCCTAGAATATCTGTTCTCTCCTTATTTTGCTAGTGGGTAGGCAATGGTGTTATATCATTCTCCTTAAGCCTACAGTGTATTTTTGTGACTAAAGGAAGTACAGCTGTGTTACATGTAACATGTGAAATGAATTTGTCAGAGTAAGGAAAAGAATTATACCAAATGACAAGGCATGTAAGGGTTGTGATCTTTATGTGTAGAAGAGGAAATTCCGCTGAAGTATTGGAGAAACTTCTGTTTTATCAGTTTTTAGAATGTTCATGCTTTCAGAAGTATGAAAATGAAACTGGAAATAGATATACTAGAGAGGAAGACAGCACATGGGGAACTAAATGCTTTTGATCCACCACTTCCATCTCATAGAAGTCTCATTCTAGATTTCTTCCTGGTGATTACTTTCTACCATCTTCACATCTTAATCTTGGTGGATGGGGACATAGGAATTTTAGGAGAATAGATGGTTTTATTCCATGTTTCTATCTTTTTTTAGCGTCCAGCATCTGCTCCAGCTCAATCATCAAACTTCAAACAGGTAAGTTTTGGGTCATTTGGAAACTATTTCCATTCCAAAAATAGAAAGTGTTTAGCTTTAGTTTCTAGTCCTTGAGTTGTATAAGTAGAAAATTCCTCAAGTATTTGAAGAATTTAATAGCAAAAAATGAAAGTGAAAATGGGGATAAATAGTCTGGAGGAGCAAAAGAAAGGAAACCATAGGATACAGGGACTTCTTAGAAGTCTCTTCACCTCATATAATATAGTTTGAAGGAGAGAATGGAGGCAACTGATGCGTAGGTAAATGGAATGGAGCTTAGAAGGTACTAGGTCTATTTTAATAGAATATTTCAGAAAAAATAATGTAGCTCTAATGATTTCATTTTTGCTTATACTGTTTTTGATCATGGGAGTACGAGTAGTTCAACTTAGAAATAATTCTCATGATGGTTTTGTACTCTATGTGTTAACTAACTAATACCTGCCACAAGAGATGAAGTTTAACATAAGTAGTTTTATGTTATGTAATCTAACCAAGATTCTTTCCATGTGTCTGTACTTTTCATAGTAACTCATAAACACTAACTATAAAACAGTGTATCTGTTTTATCCTTCTCTCTTAGGATCATTCTGTAGTTGCTCTCACATTAGCTGCTCTCAAATACAGCATTAGCATTTGAGTTCTCCAACTATTGTTCTCTCTCCTGTTCTTTCTCGTTCTTCCCTTGATCTTCTTTGGGGAAATGGCGATAAATTTGATCCTGATATTCTTTAGTAGTGTGTAAACTTTAGGTGCATCGAATTATGTTTAGTGTGGTTCATATCACTACTACTTCCCTAGTGAAGCAATCAGTGTTAATGTTGGCCTTTGTTCCTTTGATACAGCCCCTGAGCTTGGAAACTTAAGCTATAGTCAGTAGAGGAACTAATCCTGGCATAAGGGCCTTTGAAATAAAAACAAATAAACAAAAAAAAAAGCATTTCTCATTGAACCTATGAACCAACCAAGATAGCTTCCTAAGCATGATTTTAATGTTTAAACTTAGTATTTTATTTTTTCTCTTTTAATTTTTTTAAGTTTGGTATTTTATTTTTTCCCCAGTTACATGTAAAAAACGATTTTTAACATTCATTTTTAAAACTTTGAGTTCAAAATTCTCTCCCTTCCCCATTCCCCTCTCCCAACTCCCTCATTGAGAAGGGAAGCAATTCAATATAGGTTATACATATGTAGTCATCTAGAACACTTCCATAATAGTCATGTTTTGAAAGACTTAATTATATTTCCCTCTATCCTATCCCATCCCCCTTTTATTCTATTCTCTCTTTTTACCTTGTCCCTTCTCAAACATGTTTGCTTCTGGTTATCCCTTCCCCCAATCTGCCCTCTCTTCTATCACCCAACCCCCTTCTTGTAAGCCCTTCCCCCCTATTTTCCTGTAGGGTAAGATAGATTTCTATACCCAATTCAGTGTGTATGTTATTCCCTCAATTCTTATGAGAATAGTGTTCACTCATTCCCTCTCACTTCTCCCCACTTCCCCCTAACTGTAAAAGCTTTTTCTTGTCTCTTTTATGTGATATAATTTACCCCATTCTACCTCTTCCTTTCTCTTTCTCCCAGTACATTACTCTCTCTTACCCTATAATTTTATTTTTTTAGAAATCATCCCTCCATATTCAACTCATACTTATACCCTCTGTCTATATATTCTCCTTCTGGCTACCCTAATAATGAGAAAGGTCTTATGAATTACAAATACCATCTTTCCATGTAGCAATGTAAACAGTTTAACTTTAATAAGTCCGTTATGATTTCTCTTTCCTGTTTACCTTTTCATGCTTCTCTTGAGTCTTGTATTTGAAAGTCAGATTTTCTATTTAGCTCTGGTCTTTTCTCAAGAATGCATTAAATTCCTCTACCTCATTGAATGTCAATTTTTTCCTCTCATGGATTAAACTCAGTTTTGCTGGGCAGTTAGGTGATTCTTGGTTTTCATCCTAGCTTCTTTGACCTCTGGAATACCATATTCCAAGTCCTCCAATCCTTTAATGTAGAGGCTGCTAAGTCTTGTGCCATCCTGATTGTGGTTTCACAGTACTTGAATTGTTTCTTTCTGTCTGCTTGCAATATTTTCTCCATGACCTGGGAACTTTGGAATTTGGCTATAATATTCCTGGGAATTTTTATTTTAGAATCTCTTTTTGGAGGTGATCAGTAGATTCTTTCAATTTCTATTTTACCCTCTGGTTCTAGAATATTGGGGCAGTTTCACTTGATAATTTCTTGAAAGGTGATGTCTGAGCTCTTTTTTTGATCATGGCTTTCAGGTAGTCCAGTGGTTTTTAAATTATTTCTCCTGGATCTATTTTCCAGGTCAGTTGTTTTTCCAATAAAATATTTCACATTGTCTTCTATGTTTTCATTCTTTTGGTTTTGTTTTATAATTTCTTGATTTCTCATAGAATCATCAGCTTCAATTTCCTCCATTCTAATTTTTAAGGAATTATTTTCTTCATTGAGCTTTTGGACCTCCTTTTCCATTTGGCCAATTTTACTTTTGAAGGCATTCTTCTCCTGCTTGGCTTTTTGGACCTCTTTTACCATTTGGTCTAGTCTATTTTTTAAGGTGATATTTTCTTCAGTATTTTTCTGAGTCTCCTTTACCAAGCTACCAAGCTATTGACTCATTTTTCATGATTTCCTTACATCACTCTCATTTCTCCTCCCAATTTTTCCTCCACCTCTCTTACTTGATTTTCAAAATCCTTTTTGAGGTCTTCCATGGCCTGAGACCAATTCATATTTTTCTTGGAGGCTTTGGACATAAGAGCTTTGACTTTGTTGTCTTCTTCTGAGTATGTGTTTTGATCTTCCTTGTCACTAAAGTAAGTTTCTATAGTCAGATTTTTTTTTCCCGTTGTTTGCCCATTTTCCCAGCCTATTACTTGACTTTTTAACTCTTTGTTAAGGTAGGGCTCAGCTTCCAGTGTGGAGGGTGAACTGTCCCAAGCTTCAGGAATTTTGTGCAGCTATTTTCAGAGATACTTCTAGGGACCTGTGAGTTTTCAGTTCTTCCAAGATGATATGATCTGAGGACAGTTGTTTACTCCTCTCCTTGCCTGTGCCCTCATTTGTGAGTGACCACAGGCACTCTTTTATACCCTGAAACTGTGCGGAGGGTCCCCTCTCCACTGCTGCCACAAGCTTTGCTTTGCTAGTGCTCCTTCTCACCCCAGGACTGCCAACCAGGACTAAGTATGGGCAAAGCAATAGAATCCTGCCTTATTGCCAACAAAGAGACCCCTGTTGTCTCCTGACCAGTTGTTTGATCCATCCACCATCTGTAGGCTAAGAGCTCTAAAAACAGCCACTGCTGCTGCTACTCCTGCCGGCCCAGGACTGTGCTCCTCTCTTACCCAGATCTAACAGTCCTTTCCTATTGACCTTCTAAGTTGTCTTTGTCGTGGCTGTGAAGTCTGGAAACTGCTACTGCTGCCAGTGATTCAGTCTTCTGAGGCCTGCCTCGAGTTTGGTGGGGTCTGTGCTGGCATGGCCTGTACTGGACTGTGCTCCTTTCTCAGCCTGGTGCAAAAGACCTTTCCTGTTGACCTTCCAAGTTGTCTTGGGCTGGAAATTTGTTTCACTCTGTGGCTTCTGCTGCTCTAGAATTTGTTTAGAGTCATTTTTTTTAAAGGTATTTGGAGGGGTTGGAAGAGAGCTCAGGTGAGTTCCTGCCTTTACTCTGCCATCTTGGCTGCGCCCTAAGTTCAGCATTTTAACCTGCTATATGTAGTATTTTGAAATATTAAGTAACCATGCTATAGAAGATTATTCTTGTCCTCCGAGAACATGTATCTTAAATATCTCATGGAACGAATCTTCCTAGGGATGCATAGCTTTCTGAGTGTCACTCCCAAGACATTAGCCTTATATTTAATCATTGCCTTATTTTTCCCTTTGTTCATTTTGATTTTATTAATCCTAATCATATCTCTTCTATCACTGAATTATGCATCTGTCTAAATTAGTGATCAAGTCCTATGGTAGCGTTTGAAAACAGTTTTTATAATACCGTTGCCTGACCATTGTTGTTCAGCCAACTTTTTACAAATGGAACTATTTGTTTTTGGAATGTTTTCCTGATAATTAAGTGCCCTAAACTCACATATAAGCAAAGAACTTGCCTTCTTGCTTCTGCAAAGTACTTCTTTTTCTGTAGGCCCAAATCATGTTATTCTTTTCAGTTGTTCAGTTCTTGTAGTTATTCAGTTTTGTAGTCTATTTTCTCACCTTATTCATTTAAAGTTTTTTTTAATTTTAATTTTCAGTTCCACATTCTTTCCCCATCCATTGAAAAAGCAAGAAATAGGATACCCATCATGTATATAGTCATGCAAAACATTTCCACATTAGCCATGCTCAGGAAAAAAAGAAATAAAAATTGAAAAAGGAAAAAAAAAAGCTTCCATCTGCACTCTGAATTCATCAGTTTTCTAACTGGAGGTGGATAACATTTTATATCATGAGTCCTTTGAAGTTGTAGTAGATTATTGTAATGGTCAGCATTACTAAGCCTTTCATCCCCTTATTCATTTTGAAACCATTTTTTCTTTCTCAGTTTCTCACTTCTCTTGACTGTCTATTTAAAATTTTCTCCCAGGTCATGTTCTTTTTTCTAGTTTGAAACTTATTTTGGTTGTTCTTTCATATCTCCGTGGTAATCTTAGTGTTATTTCAGAATTAGTAATGCTCTGTGTTTGTTGTCATCTGTAGATTTCATGGCTCATATTTTTTTCTCTTAGGCCATCAATACAGATGCACGTAGTCTCTACTTGTCCCTCTATGGTGGCCTGAACTTGAGTCACTGATATTTATCATACCTTTTGGTTATGGGCTTTCAACTTGTTTTCCATTTTCAACTTATATCACAGTATTGAATCAAAACAAGTTTGGTATGGTGCAGAATTTAAATTTTTTTAGACAATTTCAAATGCTTCTATAAAAATCCAAACATAGCCACAGTGCTTCCTCTTCTC